GATGGGCAGATAGACAGAAGAGAGATAATTTGCAGAGTGATGGTGTTACAGCCAGATGTGCAAAGTTCACAGGGACAGCGGTTAAACTACTGGAAAGCTGTGCTGAAGGGATTCAGTGACACATAACTGCAGTGGTTGGACAGGATTGAGATGGCTGGTACCAGGGGGATGGAGAGCATTGTTAGTAAACGGACTGATGGACAGAGAGGAGACAGACAGACTTGGTAGGACACTGCACGCAGTGGACAAACAGACAAGGCCAACACTGCAAATAAAAGCTAAATAAATGAGAAACAAATAGAAAGGGAGGACGGTGAATGCAAGCGTCAACAGAAAGATGCAGGCAGTGAACCAGCTGAACGTGCAGGGCAGACAGAGGAGGCAAGGGATGCGAGAGATGGAGTGGGACAGGTGGAGAAGGGCAGTGGGACACGCAGGGACCGAGACAAGCCCCGGTGCAGCTGGAAGGACCGCCGGAGGAGAGCCGGGGGCACGGACGCTGCGGAGGGATGGAGAAACAAGCGAGGGGAGTTGCAGGGCACAACCCGGGGAGAATTCCGGACACAGGGGCACAAGCTCGGAGGACGGGAAGGCACCGGCAGGGTCAGAGTGGGATGGTGCGGGACAGAGGGGAGAGAGGATGAGTCGGAGGGCAAGCGGGTGAGCTCGGCAGCCAGGTGCCTGTAGCAGGCAGGACGACAGGCAGGAGGACACGCAGGGTACGCAGCGGGCCAGGCAAGGGCGGTCGGGGAACTGCCAGGGGTCAGGCAGGAGGAAAGAGAAGGTGGGCAGGAGGACAGGCAGGGCGAGCGGGAGGACTGACAGGGGTCAAGCAGGGGGACTGACAGGGGTCGAGCAGGGGGAATGACAGACGGGGCGATGCAGGACAGGCGGGGAGCGCGGCAGGGCAGGGGCCGCGGCGGGTCGGGCAGGGGGACGCGGGCGGCGGGGGCGCGCGGCCGGGCGGCGCCCACCTGTCTCGGCGAAGCTGATGATCTCGGAGACCGGGTCGTGGGCCGGGGGCCCGGCGCTCGCCTGCCCGTCCAGGCTGGGGATCTCCACGCGGCCGTCCTCCCGCACCTTGCCGGCGTGCAGCTTGCGCAGCGCCGTGACCATGGCCGCCTTGGGCACGGCGTGCGTGATGTTGGGCCGGTCCCGCATCTGCAACCGGCTCAGGATGTGCCTCTTCACCGCCTCCAGGAAATCCCCGTCCACCTTGCCCGGTTCCTCGGGCCGCCGGAAGCCGCAGGAGGTGCATGTGTCCTGCGGGGAGCCGCCGGCGGGGGCCGGCGGGGTCGGGGTGGCCGCGGCGCCCAGCAGGAGCAGCCCGCAGGCCAGCAGCGCGGCCAGCACCCCCCGGCGAGCCGCCCCGTCCATGGCGGAGGAGCGGGGGGCCGAGCTGGGGGCCGCCCCGGAGCGCCGCAGGGAGCCCGTCTGCAGGCAGCGCCGCTCCGAGCGCTCCGCGGCGCGGAGGGGGCGGTGGCAGCCAAGCTGGGGGGCCGCAACCGCTCCGCGCAGGGGGGGAGCCGCGGCGGAGGGAGGGGGCGCCCGGGGAAGCGGCGTGTGCCGCCGGGGAGGCGGAGGGGGGAGGCTGCACGCGCAGGCACCGAGGGCGAAGTTGGGGAGGGAGGGGGGGGCAGCAGGCTTGGCGTGCACGGAGAGCCCGGCTCCACGGGGGAGGGGGACGGCAGCAGGTGAGGGGGTGGCTGCGGAGCCCGGGGAGGAGGGAGGGGGAGCGGGGAGCGAGCCGGAGGTGCGAGGGGATCCGGGGAGCAGGGGAGAGGCGGCGCCGCGCTGCCCCGGTGCCCCGCGTCGCTTCAGAGGGGCATCCCCGGGCGCAGTCGCTCGTGGTCCATCGCTCGCTTCGGCAGGTCCGGGCGGGCCGCGGAGAGGAGCTCTCTAGTCCGGCGTCATTGAGGGGGGTCAGGGAGATAAACGAAGCAGATTTATATACAATCCAATTTATAGCCTGGAAGGAGGGGGGGGGGAGAAATGCCACTTGTACCCCCCCGCCCACTCCGCCCCCGCAAGACAATCCGTGGGTGCAGGTCTCTGAGCAGGTCGGCTCCGCGCCGCTCGGTTGTCCCCCTTCAGCGCCCGCTGCTTCTCAGCGTGCCATCAAAGTTGACCCGGAGCATTGCTGGGGAGGCAGTCGGGGGCGGCGGGGAGGGAGTGCGCGGCTGGCAGCTCCACTGTTGCGAGTCTTCTCCCCCCACCGCCCCGCTTATTATTAGCGAGGTGCTTTTATTTTTCAAAGCAGCGCGGAGGGTCCGGAGTCCGGCGCGGATGCGGCGGCGGCGTCCGGGGACCCCCGCCGCGGGCAGGGCACCGCACGCTGCGCGGCGCGGAGCGGGGAAGCGGCGCGATCCCGGCGATCCCAGGAGAAGCTGCACGGATCCACTCGGTCAGACCAGCTCTTCGGCTCGCTCCCTCGCTCGCTCTTTTTAAACAATATCTCCCTTGTTGGTGGTTTGGGTTTTATTATTATTATTGTTATTATTATTTTAAGTGTGATTTTTGTTGTTGTTGCTTCTGCTGCTTCTCCAGTTAATCTGTCTCCCTCTCTGCGTCTTTTTGATCTTTCGCTCGCCTTGTGCTGGCTTGAACGCTGTGTTTTGTTTTGTTTGGGGTTTTTTGTTTTGTTTGGTTTTTTTGGTTTTTGTTTTTGTTTTTTCTTTTTTAACGCGTCTGATGTTCCTTCTCGGATCCGCAGTGAAAGGTCTCCGGGAAGCTGCTCGCTCCTCGCTTATCTTCCTCTGATCTCCTCCTTCTAATTTTTCACCCCTGCAAAATCACGACATTGTGGCACTTTCTGCTGAAACTTTTATACAGGAGTTAAAACCACGTGGGAACTCCAACCTATAACAGAGACGCCATGGGTTCCTCACTATTTAGGAGATTAAGTTAAGTCTTTTGCCCCCTGGGCTATTACAGTAACTTCCTGATGTGGAAATATTAACTATGCTGTTTCTTTAACTCCCCCCCGTCCCCTCCCTCCCTCCCGGTTCCTGCAAACACACCCACCGCACACCGGCTCGCGTTCCTGTCCCGTCGTCCGGCAGGACTGATGGACAGACGGACCGCGAGCGGCGGCAGCTCCGGCCCCCCTCCCGCCCCGGCCGGGAGATGGATACCCCCCTCTCCCCCCCGCCCCCCGCGGTGTTCCTTGCCTTTTAAGCACTTGAAAGAAGAAGTCATTAGAAAGTTTACCGTCGGGTTGGCTTTGCGACGGGGCGGGTTTCTGTTTGTTTGTTTGAATGGGCCGGGTAATCGGGGCGGGTGCCGGGGACTGTGTGTGTTTTCCGTGGGGCAGGAGGGACGCGGAGCCTGGCGGAGGCAGCGATGGGGCGGGGGGTGCCCAGGGCGGCGGCCGAGGGGAGCCGGGAGGGGAAATAACGGGACGGCCGCGCTCCCGCAGCCGCGGATGGGAGCCGGCGGGAGCGCTGGCCCTGCCCGCGCCCGGGGAGCGGGTTTTCCTCCGCTCCTTCGTGGGCAGCCCCGGGGGGCTCCGAGGCGAAGGAGATGGCTGTGACATCCCCTCGCAGAGGTCAGGAGAGATTCCCACCCGGCTTCCTCCAGCAGCCCAGCCCGGGGGGCGAGCGGCCAGGAACGGGGGGGGCGAGGCAGGGGGTGGGGGGGAGAGTGAAGAACACCGCT